ATTAAAAGGAATTGAAGATATGGAAACTGTTTTCACTAAGAATTCTGCCACATTTCCTGTGAATGCTCAGTGCATAGAGGAAAACCCAGCATATTTGAGTAGCAGCCATGGCCAACTACGTGAAAGGAGAAATGAATGGTGGTGACCCATGGACAGCCGCAGACAGTTTTCTGATGTGCTGAAAGTGAGCATTCTGACTGGATGAGAGGACAGATTGAGCCTAGGGATAACCTTTTCTATGTGCTGATGTTCCCTCAGTCTTCAATCAGCAGCCTGGGGCAGTGTCTCGATTAGTGCGTTTAAACCAAGCTAAGCTGCTGCTGTAGAGGCTAAGGACCCCGCTGTCCTGTCTGGCAGGGGTGTTTAGATCCAAAACTGACTGGACATAATTCTAAACCCTTTGGCCAGTTAAACAGTTACCAAATGTATATTTCAATGATGTACTTCACCACTTGCCTGGATGTCAGCTTTAAGGAACAAATCCGGGCAGAAAAAAAAATTAACCCTTGCAGTTGATCTACCCCTGTTCTGCAAAGGGTTAAAAGCTCGTTTTGGTCTAGGGTCTGAAATAAAAAACTCACCTGAATCCACTGTCCCGACTGGCTGATAGACTGGTCCCTGCAGCCTCTTCTCCCCTGGCCTCTGTCGGTCTAAGGACATGTGAGACATCACGTCTAATACAGTATTTTAGACGTGAGAACGCTGAAGCACATTTCATAGGGAGATAGAGGTGAGCAGTCTCTGCTGCAGGATCAAGGCCCCAATTATGAAATTATTCAAACTACTCAGTTATTAATAGAACTCAGCTGAAAAAAAAATTGAATCAATTTCACAAGGTTCATCGGTGATGATTGTAAAGTTTTATCTTTTTGCTTTTAAATGAATTTGTAAGGTATAGTAGTTGTTGGGTAGTTACCTATAAATACCATGTTTCTTTTTTATACTTTTCTTATTTTTTTTTCTGGATTTCAGAAATGTTGATATCATTAGTGAAATGTGTTTCTATTTATAAAAAAAAAATTGTTATGCTAATACCACTTATTTATACTCACAGTGTCCTGTGTTCGAGATAAACCATCATATTTTGCATACAGGCTTTACTCAGCAATTCATGTAAGTCATTGTCTGTATGTTTTAATCATTGCCTCGCATGCTACACACAATATTTTTCTGCATTTAATATGCCAGCTAAATTATATGAAAATTTACTGGACTGGATGTGAACCTTAAAGTGACATTAAAGTCAAAAGTTCCCCCCCCCCCCCCCGCCACACAATACTCCGCTGACAGCTCTGCAATGTTACCCCGAGCGTGACTCGGGGTTACCGCTCCTGGCAGAGAAAATTAACCCCGAGTCACGCTCGGGATTACCGCCAGGGAGGTTGATTCAATCCTCATCTTCTTTACTGTCCTTTTCAGCTGTCCCTCCAGGGCTGGTGCCGGTTTCCTATGCAGCGCTGACTCCTCTGTCCTCCTCTTCTCTCATGTCCCATGGAGTCTGTGCGGGTGCACGCTGCTCCATAGACTAAAGGTGCCCATACACCTTACGATTATCGGACGATTTTCGTATGCGATCGACTTTTCGGCCGATAATTGTATGTGTGCATTGCAGTGTCCGGCCGACAGTACTGTACAATCGTACGACTTTTGACGGTCAAGCATGTTTGAAAACTTTGCTAGATCGTACGATTTTCGCAAGGTTGCTGGCGTTTCCATCTGTCAAAAGTCGTACGATCTACACTGCGCATGCGTGAACGAAAATACGACAAATCAATTACCGCATTTCGTCCAGGTGCTTTTCGTTAATTACGGCTAAATTAATCTTGCGATCATCGGGGCAGGATGGGGCTGCCGTACGAAAATCGTACGACTATTCGATCATCGGACGAAAAGTTTTGTCCGATAATCGTAAGGTGTATGGGCACCTTTAACTTGTGTCTCTCCTCGTCTCCCGGCCGAACATCTGAAGTGTGCATGCGCCCGCCCCAAGATCCTTTGCGGCCGCCCAAAACTCTTCAGATGTTCGGACAGGAGCAGACACAGGTAAGTTTAAACCTGTTTGAAATTTTTTTTTTTTCTTGCCAGCAGTAGATATATGCAAAAAACATGAGGGTTTAATAACCCTTTAAAGTGAACCTGTACCTTCGCCATGCAAGGCAAAGAAACAAATGCAATCAAGTACCACACACGCACACACACACACACACACCTCCCCAACTGTTCCTCATTTGGAACAAAATCTTCAGTCCCTCATTTGTCCCTCTTCCTGGTCTGATGTACATATATAATTACCAAAAGTGTTATTCTGCACGTAATGGTGAAAAAAAACCACAACAATTCTGGGATTAACCGATCATTTTTGGCATATAAATTCTTAATGGTCCGCATAACTGGGGACATGGCAGGGATATGTACTGTGCCTAAATACATTAAAGGGAATTTATCAATACCAGAGCAGACAAAATCTGGAGCAGTTGCCCGGGGAAACTAAAAGAGCTTCTCTCTTCAGTTTGTTCAGTTAAGATTAGAAAATGAAAGATACAAGCTGATTGGTTGAAATGCAAATCTACTCCAGTTTTGATAAATTCCCCTCATTGTGCTGGAAGTTGTTCCTCTTTATCATCTCAGAAAGCTGGTGATTATGCAAGTATGCACCCACTCCAGTTGGCTGAGCTCATGTACATGTCAGGCATTTCTCTTCGATCCCAGAGCAATGCGGAAGCGAGTAGAAGATAAACATATGTTGCCTGTGACAGCCTAACTGGAACATTTCAAATGAGGCCATTCCACTGCTTCAAAAAAATGCACATTTGTAAAGCAGAGTAATGCTCTAGGCTAGGAGAACAGAACTCAATGAAAGTTCAGTAAAAAAATAAGAGCCCAGTTATGTGACCTGTTAAAGTTACATGAGACCTGCTCTTCTCCTACCATGGAGCGCTCTCTGCTTTGTTAAGCAGAGAGAACTCTGCGGGGCTCTGGGAAGGTACATACTGTGGCCCCAGTTCTCTGAATAGGATGGCCTACTGTGTGGAGTAATATATCTTCTCCATTATACAGTAAATGAGCCTCTAAGTGCTTGGCAAAGTAACTTTGTTAGTTTGCTCATGTCTATAGCACAGTGAACTCATTTTACATGTACTTTGCTGACACCTTGTGGTATAGTAGATTCTGTAAAATGTTTCAACAATTATTACATATGATTACAATAAGTAATATATATATTATATGTAGCGCCCTCTAAAATGTCGCTATTGAATTTAGAGATAC